AACTCGCAGTGAGAACGGAAGCACTCGCGAAAAAGAAGTCGAGTTAATGAGGGATCGCCCGTTTGGAATTAATTGAAGAGGGAAACTAATCACGAAGGGAATCACGAAGAAGCCAAATCATTCCGCCAAATTGCTCTCGCGATCGAAGAGAGCAACGTTTTCTAGGAATTGTTTGCCAAGAGAAATGATTGTTCTATTAACTGCTTTCTGCAAAACTTCCTTTTGGATGAAAAACTGTTTGACATGCAACGCAGAATCTCAATTATCTTAATTAGAAATCAAATAAAAAGTTTTGTTAAAAGCATAAATATAAGTAAAAGTAATAATGTATAATAAATTATACATTAGTACATAATTTAATACATTAATGTAGTAATATGAGTAAAATTTTGAAATAAAGAACATCGAATCAAAATTAAAAGGGACAAGAATTAATTTGTAAATTTCACTTATCTCCTCGTATATTATCTATATTTCATTTTTATCTATATTTCATTTTTATCGTATCGTTCTTGTTCTTTTTAAAAAAGTCCGAAATAATTTGCGATGTGGTAAACGAGAGAATCGACGTAGGATATTACATCAATTAAATTGGTGTGAACTTGACGCGATGTCCCTGAGATACGTCAAAGATGCATTGCAAAAAACGAAAAACAAATTCAGCAATGAGATATTTAATAAGATAGATAAAATAGATAGAGCGTTGAAGTGCGGCGACAAGAGATCTCTGGATGACGTGCAAAGCGGGGATTGATTAATCGAGTGCAAAGTTAAACGACGCCGAGAACATACTTCCACGAGACGCAAAAGTTGCGAGTGGAATGAAAAAAAAAAAATTCATCGTAAAATTGATACATCCACGAGAGAGGCGAGATAGTACACGAAAACACTGTCTCTCCCTCCCCTGGTTCACCCCTTATCTGTTGAACTCGCGCCGATGCTCGCTGGTTTGTAACGCGCGAGAAAAACACGCGGCGGAGAGCCGCACACACGTACGCGGTCTTTTGCGATTATCGTCGTTTCTGCGGCAAATTTCAGTTCGCGGCAATTCTGCGACGTGCGCATTATCCAATTACGGAAATTCGAAGTTGAGCGTACCGCATGTGAGACACACCGCGCGGCTGTACCTTCGCGAGAGATGCACGCATGTATTTGCGCGTGTCTCTTCTTCGCGAAGAATAGCGAAGATACTTAATTTTAAAGCCTGAAGCCGTAACGTTTAATTTGCGATAAATCGCATTTTACGTAACGGCACCCTGCTCGACCAACCAATTACGTAAATGAATATTTACGACTACCGACGGCCGCGTAAAAAAAAAAAAAAAAATTTTGCCGCGCGCAATTTCAGCGCATGTGATATTTCTGTATTTGAAATTTATATATTTTTTTTTCGTCATTAATTAATGACGAAAATGGAGAGATCGAGCTACGCGTGAAAAATCCCTCGGCGAGCGTTCTCACAGCAATACGAATTTGTATTCCGCAGGTGGGACTCTATGAGTTAAAATGCATTATGATAATTAGATGACGATTAAACAAATCAAACGGCCAAAATTCCCATGGTGGTGACTACGGCGACTACGGTTCGCTTCGCACCCCACAACGATACACTCGCGCTTCCCCTCTCCCTCCGCCGATCTCGACCACGGGGTCTTTTCCAATTACTCTCGCTTCCATCGAGAACCGGACGTGCACCTGTGCCTCGGAAATGCGTAACGTACTACAGGTGCAGTAACGAGCGCGCGTTATCTATGACGTTGGCAGGGAGAGGGGAAGGGCCGAGTACCTTGGGGACGATTATATTCGGCGATTCATTCTGGCCGCGTCAAACGCACGCACCGGGGGGGGGAGGGGGGAGGGTGTCAATTGAACCGGATGGAACAGTTTAACGTCTTTTAAAGATGGCAAGCGATTCAATTTATTTCCCTACGCGTAACATAATCGCGCTCCGCTCACGCTTTCGTCGCGTTCAACATCTCTTTTTTTTATCGCGTTCGTTTATCTCGGAAGGCAACAAATCTAACGTACCGCAGAGATTTTCGTTTAATTTTCTAACGATGAGATTCGTAAATTATTATTATCTTGGTACCTTGTTTAAAAGAGTGCGATCTTGATTTCAGAATCGGACGGACGACCTGAGTTCGGAGGTAGGATGCGGCGCGAGATGCAAGATCGATCAAGTAAGTAACCTCATGTCTAATCATTTGCATCAAACGTCCGGGATGTATGTATGAACTCTCTTTAGAGCTCTGTGTGGGGGTATCCAATTCGCCCGTTTGCCGCTACCATATGGGATGAATTCAGAATCATTGGCTTTTGATCAGTAACAAGTTGTATGACTTTATAATTATCATATAACAAAGGGAATAAACGGGAATGTAATCGGGAATATAAGGGAACGAAGTTAGATGAAAGGATATCGGGATATCAGCGGTCAGAGGTCTGACATCTTTAAAAGGGTATCTTGTTCTCCACCTCGGTGACGTCTAATCGCATGTGATGATCGCGACGAAGTTCGGGGCAACAATCGGTGGGATGCGCGAATGACCGGTGCGGACGTCGGAGACAAAAATGAAGGGACGGCGGTCCCTCGTCACAATGAAAGTACTTCCGCTGGTGCCCCAGGGGGCCCCGCCGCTTCTAACTCGCGGCGACGGCGGAGATGGTCGAATGGCAAATAAAAAAAACAACGCACGGCCGATGAATGGGACCGACGTACGAAACGTATCGCGCGCGACGAATGAAAGAATGGCCCGGGGACTCCCTGTTTCTCTCTCTCTCTCT